ATCTTTAACTGTAAAGGGATTTTTTCCCCTGCTTCGTTGTTTGTTCATCAGGCAGCATGTTAGAGCTTGTAAAAGCCTCTCTCACCGTCACTTGGCGGTTTAAAGTCACTCTCAGTGAGGGCTCCCCTGTCAGCAGGCCAGACAGAGCGATTTGTCTTGATATTTTAATACAAGTATGGGAACTGCATGAGAAATGATGTCCCCCCCCCCCCCTCTCAGTAATCGTTCTCTGTGTGTTTCTGCTGCAGACACACACAGTTCATATATTCCTACCATTGTGGGGACTCTCCATTCATTTCTATGTTGAAAACTCTAATCCCAACATGATGACCTTAACCCCTACCCAGCCCTAAGCTTAACCATAAGTGACCAAACAAAATACAAGGCTTTTGGCATGTTTAGTTTTTTGATTACATTAATAGTTTTTTTTTTAAACAAGCTAAAAAAGAGCTGGTTTTATCACATAGTGGGGACATTTGGTGCACAAAATGTGGTACATACAGTACAAACCCATACACGTGCCCATACACACACATGCTCACAGACACTAACAGACATGCTCACACACACAGACATGCTCACAGACACACAGACATGCTCACACACAGACATGGTCACAGACACACACAGACATGGTCACAGACATGCTCACACACACACAGACATGCTCACACACACACACAGACATGCTCACAGACACAAGCTCTCTTGCATATAATCTGAAAAGAGTAATACATGTGACCCAGGTTCAGACAGTGCTTACAGAGGATTATTTAAATGATCATTTGAAATAACAGCAGACAGGATCACAAGGCAGAGGCTGTAAAGACGTGATGGGTCTCAGCCATGGACCCTCACCAGTATGAGCTCTGTACTGGATTTCATGTTGGTTTGGCTTTTTTTTTGATGGCTGACACGCTTGAATGCACATACTGTATGTCTGTTCTGGATGGTTCTTTCACACGTGCGCAAACATTTCCATTCATTTTATTAGATCAAGGGAAAAAAACACTCATCTTGGTTTTTCAATAAATCCACATCACAACATTGGGAGTGGTTCGTTGCTTCAGTAACCAGAATGGAAAGTTCTGTTTTTCTTTTTTTTTGATGGCTAAGAGAAATGGCATTAAAATAATAATCTAGCAAGTTATTTTGAGGCCAATGAAAAATGCATTCTTACTGGGGAGCTAATAGAAAATATTCTGTAGCTGGAAATTTGATCTGCACAGCACAAGAAAGCCTCAAATCTGTAGAGCTGTTGATATTAGTGAGCTAAAATGACAACAGCTACAATTATCCTTTCCTGTGGTCCAGCCACAACAACATTCAAACATTCAAGCACAGCAGACCATCCATGTCTGCAATTTATTAATCCCTCAAACTATCACAGAGTAGATGATTTTTAAAATATTTCTTTCCAATTTCCTTGATTGGCTATTATTCTAAATTCCAGCACAGGCATTCATGCAATACTTTGTTTGATTCTACCTTTTTTGTGAACTGTGTCTGATCGTGTTTCAGGGGCCACATATGAACCGCACGGATTCACCTTGCACTAATTTTCTTTTATGAAATATTTGAATTTATATCGTTTGGCTTCCCGTAAGTTATACCCAATCACATTTTCTCAATAGATAAGAAAATTCAACGCTTAAATTTCCCCTTAGAAATCTGTGGATGGTCTCTGTAATTTGTTTTCCTGAGCAAAGTGCTTCTTGATGTGTTTGTCTGGCCGATGTTGTTTGTCAAACACAGAATGCGTAGATTCACCAACAGCTTGAGCTCTCACTGCCAGCTAGTTGTAAATTCAGCCACTGAATCTCTGTATCTTTTCTAGAGCGTTTCTCACCAGGGGTTCCAAATGTTGGTCGGAATGTGGATTTATTTTAATTAAAAACTGCAAATGTTTACTCAGGGTGGGCAGTGACACTCGGGGAAGGAGGCACCTCTGCTAAGCTGGCGGACGGTAAGTTATGAGCAGCATTAGCGTGAGCTTACCAATCAGCCCTGGCAAGGCGATGGCGTCCTGCTTCTTAATTAAACACCCGTATTGTCTTTAAGAACAGCATCCACTCAGTGTGGTGGCACATTCCCGGCTAATGCTGAAAAAGATGTGAACCACGGGCAGTCACCTCTACAGCAAACGGCGACGGGATCACCGTGCAATCACACCCTCACACCCTCACTCGCGGAAATACCGTGGATACAGACAAACAGCAAAACAAACATATTACACAACGTTTGGCTCTAACAAGATAAATGTCATTTAAGCTTAAACTGTTTTGAGCCTATTTGTAATGTTGTTATTAAATTTTACATCAAGCACTCCAGCCATCCTGAGGCCATATGTAATGGGGTGATATGAAAAAAAAAAAAAAACAGTTGAATTGAAATTAGTTGAGGCCGTTTGAAATTTAGCATTGTTCAGCATTTAAAGGGGAACCTTGAACCCAGATGAAGGTAGAAGGTGATTAATTCTCTGGGGTTCTACCACAAACAGGCTCCCATCTGCACTGAACCTCTCTCCCATTCTTCTTCTCCCGTCCCCCACCCTCCCACACAACGGTAAGTGACCACCATCTCCTCGCCACATGCTCAAATGGATCATTTGTTTTTCTAAATAAATCAGACCCCAATTACTGTCAGCTCGTTGATGCAATTATGTGTATCAAATTAGATAAAACAAATAATCAATCAGACAATCTCCTTTTATGCAGCTTTGGACCATCTGGTCATGAAAGGTAATTTCTTGGGGAAGGTTGTGGTCTTTCCTTAAAAGAAGGCAAGTTAAAGGTGTGGTCCTTTGGCGTGTCCCTATGACATTCTTCATTGTCTGGTTGTTGGTACAGATGACCATTTAACCCCAAAGAGACACACTGTAGCACAAAGGCTGGTGCAGGAGCACCTGGGACGACACACAGGCTCATGTCATCTGCACTCACTATAGGCACAAATGGCCAGACCAGAATCGCCCATTATGGGGCTCCTTGCAATGAACCCGGCTCTGGGCCAGTTCTAGTCAGAGCCCACTCTCAGCAGGTGGTGTCTGCACACTCGCTCGTGTGTGTGCATGTTAAGCCTAAAAAGATGCAAGGTTTGACAGTCCACTACAGCTCGATATGGGCATCGTTTTAAGGGGACAGCCGCATCAGACAGGCCGAGGCAAGCGTGTGCACACATTCCTCATAAGCCAGTCTGCCATCATCACGTTTGGGACCTGTGTTTGGGTTATTTCAAAGGGGGAGAGGGCAATGTTTTGCATGTGAGTTGATTAATGGGGATGTCAGAGCGCAAAGCATGCACCCACTGTGCCTCACCCTCCAGACTGCCCACCCCCCTACACACACACACACACACATCCGTGGCATCCCTAATGGCACCTGGGACCACATATTTAGTCCACCTGTGGCCCATTTTCCCCAGGAGAGCATGATCACCCCCCCCACCCGATCCTCTGCAGTCAGCAGTCCTGTCACTGGCTGGGATCAGCCCCTTATTAATGAGCCTCTCTTGTCACACAGAGATATTAAGCTGTGGTTCTGACAGAACAAAGCTCCAGTGCTCGACAATCCATCCAACCCCTCCCATAATGCACTTCTCAATCCTCCACCTCCTCCAACGCAGCACACTTCAATCCATCCGTCTTCTCCCGGACTCCACAATAAAGCAAGATTTGTCTGGCGACCCGCACTGCCGCAGAGTGTAATTTATCGCACGAGCTGCATACATTATTATAGCTGTTCCCTCCTTGAGTTTCTCATGCCGATGCAGTTTTGTGACAGAAACCTGACCCTCACCCCCAAGCTATTGGGGGGGGGGGGTAGTTTAGCATCATTCAGGAACATGGCATTGAAAGGCTACAGGTTACTGCCAGACATACGCAAGGTCAGTGAGGGAAAATGGAAACGCAATAGCGGTGGATGTGCTAGAGGAGTCTGAAGTGTGAAGATTTAGGGGCCGCAAAGAAAACGGCAGGAGCTTCCCGGGAAAGGATGCGGGCGAGGCGGCAGGCGGATGTACTGTGAGTTATTTAAGTGCTGAGCCTGAATGTCTGCCTGGACCAGCACAGAGAGTTAAGGCAGGGAGCTTATCTGAAATTGACAGTGCCCTTCCTGGAGAGGTTGTCCCAGACCAGACGCTTCACAGCCGTGACCCTGCTAAGAGTATGACGGGACCTGGTACAGATTTATCACGCGGCAAGGGGGTCCGCTGACGATCCCCAAAGGCTTCTCCATGCACGCCAGCACATCTGGTTTTATAAACACCAATAAAACACTCGGACAAACCGGCTGCACTGCCGAGGGCCACCGGTGAGGGCCGGCCTGCTCCAGAACTCCCAGCCAAATGGGACTGGGAGCACACCTGCACAGTTGGCTTTGGCAGGGAGGCAGAGACAGGTAATGGAGCCTGGTCACAGAAGAAAATTTGGAGGAGGGGTATTTGTGGGAGGGGGTAAATTATTGAATTATCTGCGAGAACACCGTTCCGTGAAGTGTTGCTCTCGCAACAATAAACAGAGGTGTCATGTTGGGGGGGTCGAGTAACTTGAAAAATGCTGTACGTTTTCTACATCGTTCTGGGAGGACTGTGCGAGGGGAAGAGGCGGCGGAGTTACTGTTGCCATGGCTCTGCCTCAGAAATCTGAGCAACACCCCCTTTTACACGTTGTAAAAATAAATACAGCTGAACACTGTCAAGCAACAGGGATTTCCCCAATCACTGTTTACAGGAGGGCCATTCTGTCTGTGACCCAGTGTAATGAGAAGGTAGGCCGCATGCCTGAAATGCTTAGCCTCCAGAACAGAGACAGGAAGCACTTTGGGGTGGGGTGGTGGGGTGGGGGGGGGTCTGTGATGGCTGTGGTGATCCAGCCTTGGGCACATCTGGCCACTATGGTAGAATCACACTCTGGGTCTCATCTAATGTTAGGTCACATCTGTTCTCTTCTTTTCTCTCTCCCTCTGTTTATCCTTTCATTCCCCTCCTATTGTCTGCCTTACCCGCTTCTTCATTGATCTTGCTATTCCTTGGTCTCCTTTCTTTTTTTCCATGTTTCTCTCTCAGAAAAGAGTGAGTCACTTCAGGTGAGCCGGGAGAGTCTGTCTTCAGTGAAGGATTTACCTCGGGATCTTCATAAGCTACGGGAATAACACGAGACAGGCAGGCAGATTGGATCAGCAGACTCAGTATGGTGGGCACACTATGGTGGTGAAGAGGGACCTAAGTCTTCAGTTAAGGTTTGAGGTTCACCAGTCAATCTATGCTCGTATTGTCACCTGTGGACATGAGCTGTGAGTAATGACTGAAAGAGCAAAGTTAGAGTGCCTGAAATGAGGTTTCTCCACAGGGTTGCCGCTCTCACTTTCCAAGACAGGGTAATGAATTTGGAGATCTGGAGGGACCTGGAAAAAGAGCTGCTGCTCTTTCAGTTCAAGAGGAATCAGCTGAGGCGTTTCGGACATGTCATAAAGGTGCTGTGAAGCCAGCCCTCAGGGGAGCTGTCCTGGGCACATCCCATTGGATGTGGCATTCCCCAGAATGATCTGGAACCATGGGGAAAGAGGTTGGCATGCTGCCTCTACAATCCTCACCAGAAAACGAGGGTGATGATGAAGATGACAAATGAGAGCTCCACAATATAGGAACCACGTTTACATACCATGGTACTAAATGCGCCCCCTAGAGGTACGGCTAGTGTAAGCATGTTTACGGTGGCATGCTCTTCTTCCAGTAAGCGCTACACTTCTGCACAGCAGAGTACCACTTGTGGTGTGTGCGATAAGCAGACTGGCGGGTGCCCTTGAGTCATTCAGAACACTGTTATTAGACATTACGACTAATGGCAAATAACCATGTTTGTGGCTTAACGCAAGAAATATGGTAAGTGATTTAAAGAGTGCGAAATTAATTCCACATATTATTAATTTATCTTCCAAAGTTGTGACCTATTCCAGACGTCATAGGACACAATTCCACACTGATTGGGATGCCCGTCCATCAGAGGACTCATACCCAAATATTTATCCATCCACCCATTTCCGAAACCCGGTTTTTCAATTCAGAGTTGCGGGGGGTCCAGAGCCTATCCCAGAAGCTACAGGCGCAAGGGAGGGAATAACCCAGGACTGGGGAGCCAACCCATCTCACACCCAAACACTAAAGCACATATGTCAAACTCAAGTGCTGCAGGCCACATCTGGCCTGGAGCACAATTCTTTGTGGCCTGCAAAATGATTCTGATATTCTGTTATAAATGGCCCAGGAATTAGGGTGCAACGGTACACAAAATTCACAGTTCAATACAAACCTAGCTTTTGGGTTCATGGTTTGGTGCAATTTCAGTACAGTAGGGGAAACAGAATTTATTTTGAAATTAGCCTATTATTAAAACTGCAAACACAAACAATTAAACAGTTATAGACCAATGGATCAATTGTAGACCAAAGGCAATGTGTCTGACATCAACATGCCAGAATAACAAGACCTAAAGGTTGCTTATTGTTAAAAATAAATATGTAAAACAAATAAAAATTCAAAAATGAGCCTGCATAATAACAGCCATACTTAGCTAAATCCTGTGTCCTCAACTACTGAGTATGAGCAATACAGTAAATCTGTAGCGATGAACAACCCTATGGTTCAATGTTTTGTTATTCTGGTCTGAATATTCTGGCAAAAGCTCCTTCAATGCCCCAGGAGACTAACTTATGAGGCTGTTTCTGTCTTATTCCGGTTGTACACACACTGTCGTCTCAAGTGAGTTAGCATGTTGGATGTGTTTTTCTAGCAACATTGGCTATCCAAGTTCAGTATAAACCAGGAGACAGACAGCCTTGGTCTATCATCTATTCTCTCTCCAGTGTTGGTGTAATTTATTGGGAATATATTCCCTGTTCAACAGGGAATTTAAGTTCCACCTATGTCAAGAAATGCATTAATTTGTTTCATTGTGTGTTCTGAACTGAAAGTGATGTAACTGAATGGCAGAATACATCACAGCCTTATCCCGGAAGCAGGGCTCATCCTGTGCCAGCCTGCACTATGCCTTTCCTCTTCCCGCCCCTCCCCCCAGCCGCAAATTCAACAGCAGTGAGGTATCATAACATTCAGCAAAACATTCCAGTTGTCATCTGGTTCTTTTGATTTCCTGGAACTGAACTCAGCCTATTTCTCATTTAAAAGTAGGATCCAGTGGAGAATGACAGATAAAAGCAGATGACTCACTCATTTGGACTCAGTTCTAATTCTACATCTTCAGAGAGATGTTTTGTATACTGTATCACTGTTCAGTTTTAATTAAAAAGAGAATTTTCATAAATAATGCTTACCACACTGTTAACATTTGTGAATGCTGTTTACATATAGTAAAATTTTAACCAAATTACTGCAACGTTTGGGTCATACTGTTATTAACTAAATAAATACGTCCCGGTTACCTCACAGACTCATTGGTGGTTTTTAATATGGCCCCTTCAGTCTGACAGCCCTCACTGAGGGATCTGCACACATACAGCAGGGATAAGATGTGAACCCCCACCCTCGGAGGTGTGATGCAACAGCTCTACTCACACTGCTATTGTCCTACCCAGATATTATTCAAAATGATAAACTTGATTCCATGTGAAGTGTCACGTAATACATAAGCTACAGACAAACAAACCCTCTTTACAAAAAAACTAACTCAGACAGGAATATTCCGGAATCTGATGAGTCAAGCCCATCAGACGTAGACTAATCTGTCTTCACCCCTGGGAAATCCTCTCCATGGGTCCGCCAGCCGAAAAGGCACCTGGAGCATCACCCAGTGCACAAAGTATGCAGACACCGGCCTATAAAAGTGAAGCGTTTTGTGGCTTTGAGTCAAACCATGCCTCAGCGCTCTAATGACAGGGCGAGGAAGAAGAGCTCAGGAGGAATTCCCCCCGCTGAGCAGGGGCTCCTGAGCCCGGGTGGTTCTGGGATCCCGCGCCCTACAGGTACGTCATGGGGTGCCGGGATTCCACAGCCCAGGTCTCCTGACCCATGCTGGGTTCTCACGGGCTATCTCTGCCTGCCCCCACCCCATGCGCTGCCCCTCTCACTGAATACCTGACCCCGACGTGCCTTATGGGAAGAACAGGCCTCCTAAATAGTACCTCGCTCATTAGCGCGGCCGATGCCCTTTATGGGAGCGCCCTAAGCTGCGTGTCCCATTTCTGTGGAGACGGGTGGAGATAAGAAGGGATGGGGCGGGCTGCTGCTGCGATAGGCCATGTAAACAGCCATGGCTGCTGAGCAATAGCTGCCCCAGCACTAATGAGCATGACCCCGAACGCACAAGGCAAGGAGGCCGAGGAGAAGGAGACCTGGCCGTCCGCCACCTTCCCCCAAAGCCTTATCTGCCGCTCCTCTCCTTACAAGGTCCTCCCACCCAAAGTTAAAAGCATCATTATAAGCCCGTCTCCTGGTGTGGAGTTCCTCCTCCCGATTGTCTGCAGTAATTGCAGCCTGCATCTCTTCTCTAACAACTGGAGGCCAAGGACTCTAGATGCACTCAATACTGAGAGGCTTGTTGAGGGGGCTGGAGTATGGGCAGTGTTCACATGAAGCAGGACTCCGTCTGAACCCCGCAGTAATTAGGGACCATCGGTGTTGATGAGTTGGGGGTTTTCTCACGGCGGGGAGTAGCAAGATAAGGCTCTGGCGGATTGTCAGTATCGTTTATCAGGAGGAAGTTGACTCATAATGAGAGGAGATGAGCACAGGAGGTACGGATCTCCCTCCATTGCTTATTTTTCTCCTCCCAATTTCTTTGCAGAATGCAACTCCACCCATTTCTAATGTGGGTCTGTGTTTACAAATGATGGCAGAGCTGGAATAAATGGTTCCCAGTAAGCCAGCAGGTGGCATGCTGCTCAGTGGAGACCATGGCAGAGCAATTTGTCATTTTAATTTAGACGGCTCAACGAGGGCAAACAAGTGCATACAGTGACAGTGAGTGTGTTTGCATTCATTTTTTCCTGTGTTGCCATACATTCCAATTCAATGTAGACAAATCACAGCTATTTCCGAAACTTAATTCGGCAGTTTTGCACCATTGTTGTTGGTGCACAGGTCTGGCTATTGTTCAGTGAAAAGTTTGCTTCATTTGACCCCCCCAGATCACACACATTCCTGCTGCACGTGGGTCCCAGTTTGGTCTATGGAAGGAAAGTGCAGAGTTATCCATCTTTTTCACCTGCAGTACTACAGAAAAGAGGACAGTGGGGGTCCCCCACCCCCCTGCCAGCTGTCAGACTCTGCTTCTGCTTCTCCCCCCTGCTCTAAAACCCAAAACCACAGGATGCCACTTTTGAGAGATGCTGCTCTAGAAGCCCCTGAGTGGGTGAGGTCTTCAATCTTCATCACTTTTTAAGCAGCATTATTTTACTTGTTAATCTTTGTGTTCGGATGAGGCTTGGGGACTCACTTCATTAGCTTCTATCAGCTGTTCTCAGTCCTGGACAGGAGCCTAAATCTTAAACAATCTGAAACATACCCTCTCCCCACACAGAACGCCATAATGTGCCTCGTCTTCACTCAGCAGGAAACGGGCCCAGCTACACCCAGTAAAACGAAAACCCAGCATCTATGTGCATTAAGATCCCAGGTATGCATCTGTCACACAGATGCTGCTCTCCTGTAAAGCAGGGATGAGATCAGGTTTGCCTGAAAGGTCTGTGTGTCAGGCACCGTCTGGTAAGGGTCCCAGTTCAAATCCAGAGCCCCAGCAACAACGGGATAAAAATGGTCAGGCCAGCCAAGCATGCATAACAAAAATGAACAAAAATGAACAAAACTGAAAATCCTGACACTCAGGTAGTTCCTGATGTCTCTCCCTCGCTCATAGACAGGAAACGGATTTTATCTCCCTAACAATCGATTAAAGGTGAGTAGGCAAGCTTGTCCCTGAGTCACGGATCAACCCCGGAGATCCCTGGACGACAACTACAGGGACAACTAATACTTCTGGCTATCGAGAATTCATTCACTTGTGCAACTTTACACGGCCTGCAGGAGGGTGACATTCACGAGGCTGCTAGCTGCCAGCTGTGTCCCCTCCAGAGCTTTGCCTGTAATGATGCACTGACAGCCGTCGGTATTCTGTCACTAGGAGGTC